GGTGTCATAGGGTGTCATGTCAGTAGGGTGTTATTATGTGGTCCAAGGTAGGGTGTCAGTTCAGTGAGGATAGGATGTGAGTACACTGACTGTAGCGTGTCAGGTCAGTGAGGATAGGATGTGAGTACATTGACTGTAGGGTGTTATAGGGTGTCATGTCAGTAGGGTGTTATTGTTTAGAGGAGTAAAAATAATCTGTCAGCCAAGAAAAAAATTGGGGTCTTACCAATAGTACCTATTGCTTACTTGTTCTGGGCCCAGTTGTTCAAAGCCCGATTAGTGCTAATCCTGGGTTAACTCTTAATAAGACCTATAGAGTTAATCCTGGATAAGCGCTAATCCAGCTTTGAACAACCCGGCCCTGTTGCCTGAACACCTGGTTCTCTCAGTTGGTTGGGCTCTGGTCTGTTGTGCGGGAGGTCGTGGGTTCAAGCATCTGCAGCCAGACTCACTTTCAGGGTCTTACAATATCTGAGTAGAAAGTGCTGCTTTTCCTCTAAAAATATCTGAAAATGGTTAGACTTTCGTCGTGTCTCTGATGACCACGTTAAATGGTGATCCCGTCTCAAGTTTAACCGCAGTACTAAGTTTGCAACTGTAGTATTATTGGAGATTTGTTGATATTTTGATCTATTTGAAATTTTGGTAGGAATCTAAATGCAGAAAATGAAATGAAAAAAAGGTTTGGGTCGAACATCGTAAGAAACGAGAGCAGGTAAGTCAATCATAAAAAGTTTTTTTCCAAAGTTTTTTGCTATCAAAAAAATTTTTTTTTGATTATATTTTCCTTTGTTGCCTTATTTACCGATATTCTTACCTCATGTTATTGTTATTACAGACAGAAGAGAGCGCATAGAAGAGTTTATCAGCGTAGTTCTTTGTACGTATTATCAGATTTGAAGTAAATCTTACTTCTCTCAGTCCTTTGTACACCTATGTCAAAAGGGGTTGAGAAATTTATGAACGCTGCTCACGTTTTTTCTCCCTCCACAAAAATCAACTCCTTGCTCCTGCCATAAGTCTCTGTGACTCGGGACTGAAACTTGAGCAGCACCTCCTCGTATGTTTAACGTAAAATTGCTTAACTTTTTTTTGATGCAACAGGAATAATCTTACCATCTTAATATTGTTTTAGACTGGTAACCCCAAAAGAAACATGGCCGAACATGTCCAAATCAGGTATTGAATTATTGCAATAGTTCTGTAACATCTAGTGGCTTTCTTTTGTTTTTGATTAAATCATCAAATAACGATCCTTGGTCGACGGCTATGGGAAGATACAGTAAAACCTAATGTTGGACTACGAATCTGTGAGAAAATGAACTAAGAGAAGGAATCTCCTGTAGTCATGCTTGTGACCATCATAGTTACGATACATGGTTGACGGCTATAGGAAGATACAGTAAAACCTAATGTTGGACTACGAATCTGTGAGAAAATGAACTAAGAGAATGAATCTCTGGTAGTTATGCTTGTGACCATCATAGTCACCGTTTGATGCTATTTTTAGAACCACATTTCCCATCGTTTGTTTTTCTGCACGCGAATACTGCGCGCGCTCCTCGCTGTTTGCTCATGCTTTTTTTGAAAAACACAAGAAACCACGCGTGCAGAAAAACAAACGTCTAAATGGATGATTCTAAAGCGTAAGACACACAGTCCAGCATTGTACGCAACATTGCACGCAACATTGCACACAACAAAATAGCATCACGATGGGGCGTGGGAATTTCTTCTCAGTTCATTTTTTCTTGTTCCTGATTATGCACAATCTATAGAAGTGATTTTATATCCGAACTCTGCTGTTTGCTTTAATTACTGTGTTTTTCCGTTATATTCATAGGTCTCAGTATGTCACTAGTGGAATCCAAGAATGGGTATGTTTACGTTACCACCCTCCACAGGCTACCCCCCTCCGCAAGCTACCCCATATTTTCTCTCTTGGGATTCCTGTGTTAAATTTTATGGCAGAGAAGAACTATGAACGAGAGGAGTAGGCAACTCCTCTTCTTCTTTCTCCCTCCACTCCCCCTTCCCCTTCGTCTTTTTTGTCCTCACCATAGGAAGTCCATAGAGCAAAAAAGAGCCAAGGCTATGTTAAATTGCCCATCACCCTTCTGACAATATTCTCAGTATTGATTCTACATGGGGTAAGATGTTGAATAACCCGAAAAAATTACATAGTTTGAGTGCGGCTTCTTGAAGTTGTGAAGGTTTTTCCATGTCATATGCTAACGCTGTGACGTATGAGGATGCATTTATGGTTATTTGTTGTTCCTTGTACTTCTATGTGAAAACTAGCTTGCAATAATTTCTATAAGAGCAATGGGGAAAGAATCAATACTGTGAATATTGTCAGAAGGGCGATAGGCGATAACGTCTTTGGTTGTAGTGTTTGATTGTCTTGTTGTGTGATGTTACGTGTATACATTAATCATATGCCTGGGTTGAAAGAAGCACTGTATGTGCGTGTGATAGTGTGTCGCCTCTGGATAACTTTAACTTCTGAAAATCTTACTATAGGGACTGATCTAGAGATGGTACATTTTCGCTTCCTTAGCTACAATCGACTGAACCTCACCAACATCATCACCTAAAAGGCAACTACGAAGCCGCAACTAGGCTTTCTTTCTCAAATGCCCTCTTTGCGTCCCCCGCCCTTTCCTTTACTCCAAGGCCTCATAGAGGTTGTTTCAAAATAATTTCAAATTTGAAGGTTTTTTTAAAGAGGTATAAACATTTATCTCTCGTCACTGACTGAGATAAACTGTAAAACTGTTATTGTGTAAAATCTTTTGTAATCCAGGTTCAATTACTTTGTCTTTGAACACTCTCAAGCCTACCAAAAGATCCAGTTTCTATTTCTAGATGCAGTAGAATCGCTTGATCCTAATAACATATCAGTAAGTATCACCTATGATTACCCATTTCTCTTTGTATTTGGAATTATTTTGTGGTAAGAACCACAGGTAACCCAGGCTACCTACTTTTATTATTTTCTAAAAGTAAGTAGTAAATAGATTTTGCTAAAATTTGGTAGGTTTCGCTAAGATTTTGAAGATAGAAATTCGAGTATATATTAAAAAAAAAAAAAGAAGTGTACTTACACTCTCGTATTAAAAGTTTCAATTTTAAGCGTTTTCTTAGCGATTTTAGGTACCCTCTCCACTTCTCTTTCCTAAAAGTGGATAGCCTGGGTTACCTGTGGTCAAATGCATGACAATGGGAACCACGTGTGGCGACGCGCGCGCTTCTCGTTTACGGCAGATCGAAAGGACCCTTAGCAAAATTATCTTGGATGCGAGGCTAACATGGAAATACAAACGAAATGCTACTTACACATTACGGAGAAAAAATGTAATTTCTTCTGTGTTTTCATGTTAGGCTAGCATCCAAGATAATTTTGAGATGGGTCCATGGGAATTAGAAGTCGATTGTGCGGAAGGGAGAAAACCTGAAAGCTTAGAGAAAAAACCTCGAAGCACAGGAGAGAACCAACTCTACTCACGTTAGATGATCTGGATTGTCCAAACTAATGTTAACCATAAGAATTTTGCTAGATCACCCCTTAAAATATAAAGTAATGCTCTCTCATACACCTGGGTTAAAAGAAGCACTGTGTTTCATCCTATAAGAATACAGAGCAACTATATCCTTCACTCTTCCATAGGCAAGTTTCACTTTCCTTGATTATATTAACTTAACGTTGAGAATGAAAACGATTTATAAAGGTTTACGCTTTAATAGCACAACTAAAGTCTGTTTTCCCCCACAATAGGCTATTCTACATTCGCATCCATTCCACATTGACTCGTTACTGCAGCTCAGCGAAATCTGCAAGATGGGAGAGGATTACCAGATGGCAGCAGACTTGGTCGGTAAGGACTCGGTAGCCCTTGGGGATAAAGGGGGGGGGGGGGATTACCTATGTACCAGCCACAGTTGCTATGGAAAGGACTAAAGTCTTTAAGAGGTTTTATACTTATGTTTTATGCTCATGCATAAAACCAATAGGTGAAATGGATTGTTTTCTAATAGGTGTGGTGACGTCATCACTCGTGCATAATTTTGACGTCATATTTCATTAAAAGAAAAAACACGAGCGTGCATTTGGTCGGTTTGAGCCATCGCAGTCAGGGAGCGACACGTCCGTACAAGGAGGAGCTTTACGTACAAAATCTGCTCCATGCCGCTAGAGAATGGAGAGCCTGATAGGCTCACCCAGTCACAACGCGTTAGGTTTGCTAGTAATATTCACTCAGAAGTCAAAAGACGGTACCATTATAGTCACGGACAGGGTGTATCCGTATGGTAGAGTATGGTACAGTTTTATTCTAATGAGCCCACTGATTTGTGAAACCACAATATTGATATGATATATCTATCTTCCATTCTCTTGCTTCCAGAAAGAGCTTTGTACTGTTTTGAATGCAGTTTTCACACGTTATTTAGCCTTTCACAAGGCACGAGTCGCCTGGACTACTCCAGAGCAGAGAACAGGTAACAAGCTGCCTATGATAGATGTGTTGAACAGCTGCAATAGCCTACGTCACTGGTCTGATCAATTATGACAGACTGGACTTGATGAGATTAAAGAAGGTCGCCCACATCGGCGATCTTTGATTTAGGGAACAATGGGTGGTTTATCAGTATAGTACATTCGCCTCTCACCTCTAGGGTCTCGGGTTCAATTTTCTGGGGTGCTTAACATTTTCCCGGAAAAACTAGGTCTTCCTGAAAACTAGGTCTTCCGATTGAGGTAATCTAATTTTCCCGCTCTTTTTGGTTCTTTCGGTAGACGCGTGTACCATTCCCGCTCTTTTCTTTCCATTAGCGAATAAATTTCCAACCGGATGGATTTGTTTAAATGGTAAGCTCGGCATCAAACAGGAGTAGAGTTTCTTAGGTCTCTCCCTTGATTCGGAGGGGTTTTCTACGGGTTCTCCGTTTTTCCTTCCTCCCGAAAACCCAACACGCTAAATTTCAATTTGATCTGTGAGTAAGCCTTGCCATGACTTAGATCAGCCCAGAGGTTGTTTCAGGGTTCAATCTGTGAGTAAGCCTTGCCATGACTTAGATCAGCCCAGAGGTTGTTTCAGGGTTCTATCTGTGAGTTAGCCATGCCCTGACTTAGATCAGCCCAGAGGTTGTTTCAGGGTT